CAGCACCGGCAGCCGGGCGCTCCCCGGTGGTGCGGGTGTCCCGCGGGTGCCCCTGGCGAAGCCTCCATTCCACACCTCAAAAACGAAGCGATTTTGATCACACACCCCCCTCCTCAAAAAAAAAAACCCAAAACAGAGAAAAAAACCCACAAGCAAATGGAAGAGCTATTAAAATAAATACCGTGATGGTTCACTGCATGCAGTTGCTGTCACGCAGGGTTTGTGGCAAAAACTTGTGTCTGGGGCAGATGCAGACCCTACGTGACTGGGTTACAGGTTTCTTTACCTTTGGCCTAACACCTCAGCGTTGTGTAAGACTGCACCCGATGCCTGTGTGATTGCACAGAGCAGGCGGGCTGTTTTTTTGTCTGGTTGGGATTTTTTTTGCAGTCACAAGTTTTGAATTTCTCAAGCCTTTTTATGCTACAATTTACAAAGGAATGCAGGCCTGTGGCCATTTTTTAGGCTATTCTTTAGGGTTGAGAACATTTGGAGATTCTTTGTTCTCTGCTACAAGATTTAGTCAATAGTAAAAACAGCTTTCTGATTTTCCCACAGAAGGTTTAAGTATCTGTATGATACAGTCTCTTTTCCATATGTTGGCTAGAGCTTTCACGTTTGGTAAACAGGTTCAGTAAACCACAGCCAGTTCTTCCCTCATCGCTCTCGGCACTTTTTATAAAAGGCATGAGGTCTATTAGCTCCACATTATGAACAGAGAAACTGAGGCACCAAGAACCAGTGCAACAAAAGGAACAGCAGAACAAGAACCGAGCCTGACCGCTGCGCTGTTGACCTTTTTGGCAATTCACCAAAGAAGCCAAACTCAACGGTAGTTGCGGTTGTGGCAGTAGGGCCCAAGTAAGAGCACTACCCAGCAGGTGAATTCACGTGCTGCAAGCCCCGGGCTTTTGCTGGATCATAGGTCCTGCGGTGTGGGGAGGTAGCGAACTGCTCGTTTGTCCATTCCGGTTGTACCAAACCCTATTTGTTTAAACATACAGGCCCATTACGCTGATGGTAACTTACAGTGGGCAGTCCTGCCTTATTTCCTTCGCATCACCTGCCAGAGTCTTTAAATACTTTTAATACAGTCTTTAAACAGTTTTTCTTAGTAACTGAAATGAAAACGTGAAGCAGGTAGTCTTTATTGCCTGTTGAATGCAATGTGTTTGGTAGCATTGCTAAGGATGGGGTAGCCAGTACAGATTAGCTGAGATGACTAGCATCAGCTCATCTGGTAGCCAGTCACAGAAGTTATCTGGTGGCCTGTAGCCAGGCTTATCTCCAACTGAACAGGCTTTCTTCTCACCAATCTTCTCCACTACTGTGAAAAGCTAGTTCCTCCCGAGCAAACCATATTAAAAAAAAAAAAGTATCCCAGAATGCCTCCCTGCACATGCATATTTTTTGCTAGTGGGTATTATGATGATATTAAAAACCCCAAACAACCAAGAGAAACAGAAACAAAAAAACCTCAGTAACCAAAAAAAACCTGGCTTGTTTGTGGTCTTAGCTGGCGCCCATCACCAGGGCTTTGGTATCTAGGGCCCACTCTGAAGGTGATGGAAGCAGTGGGCAGCCTGATAATAGACACTGCGGGACAGGCTGGTAATAGCTGTGCCCAGTGCCAGGCTGCTCCTAATCTCAGCAGTGCCAAAGGTCCCCCAAGCCAACCCTTCCGCCGCCATCTCCTTTTTCTCTGGTGACGCTCCCAGCGCTAATCTGCAGCAGCACATGTTCAATGGCTGTGCCTGGGAAGCGCACTCGGACAGTTAACAGGCTGGAGGGTTCTCAGAGCTGAGGAGTGACGGGCCTGCAAACCAAATCTACAGAGAAACAGGCTTTTCATGCACCAGGTTTGGTATGAAGACGGACGGAGGTTCACAGAAATGCAATTGGGAAGGGGAGGAGAGGCACAAAACCACCTCCGCTTCACAAAGCACCTCAGGGACTTGGTGTCATGTGCCTTAATTTTTAACACTCTATAAGGAAGTGCTTCAGAGGAGGTATATGATTCCAGGGAGCTATTTTTAGCAAGAGAAAAACCAATGTTAAGTGATTGCATATTTCTTTCACTTCCCTTTTTTTTTTCTTTGCTTGTGAAGAGTATACTCTCAGCGAGTATATTTATTGCTGAAATTATTTTGCCATCTTTTTGGACAGTGAATTAGTGTCTTCAGCCTCTTCATAAGTTATGGCTGTTGTAGATTAATACATTGCTTATTTTAAGTAGCATTTACTTAGTGTCAGTAGCTCTCTAACACATTGTGTCAATGCAGCTCCATTCACAATGCAGGAATTGAACATAGAACTCAGAGTTGCACTATTACATTTAGCTAAGCATAGTTGGAGAAAACGAGTATGAAATGTACATGAATAAAATAAAACTTGTTTTCAGAGTAAATGTCCAAATAACCTTTCCAGGATTTTGTCTTAGGGAGTTGCAGAAGATGCCCACTGCCATTGTAGAAAATATCTGCAACGTGGCAATGGAACGTAACTGTTATGTTGTCCTGCTGAGCGAACTACGCTGTTTAGAGAATACTTGTTTTTTGGAAAATAATAGAACTATTGCGTTTTAAGGAAACAAAATTAATCTACCTGAATTTAAAGCCTTGCTATTATTGCTTCCTTCTGAGGCCAGCTCATAGCTCGGCAGAGGATGGCAGAATGTTCGCTAGCTGCTTTTTTGCAATGGGCTTCTGGTGCTAAAGTTTGTCTTAGGAGCCGTTGTCTGTTCCTCCGTTGGCTGGTGGAAGATGTGGAGGTCATCTCTGGTGGGGAAGTGTGGAATAAGCTGATTTTTCTTTTGGAACAATATGGAAACTCAGACATTCCTTATCTCTAGCAACCCATAAAGTGGTAAAGTAGTTACTTCCAATGAGTCAAGTCCTCCCACTGTCATCTTTTTACACAAAATAATTTAAAGGTGCTTTCCTGATTGTAGTTTCTTTTTCTGTCCTTAAAAGGAACACTTGCAAAGCACTGACAGTCATCTGACATGTAATAAAACTACTAAAAGCTTCTAGAAGACAGTCTGTTCCGTGTTTCTGTGGCTCAGTGATACTAGTCCTGTTTATCAGCAGGCAACATGTCTGTGTCATGTTTTGCTCAGCCTTGCATCGTTTCCTGTAACGCAGTGAAACATTTCACACAGTGAACATTATAGTTAACTTCAGTGGAACTGGGGCTTTTCACCTCTAGCATTTTCCTGGCAAGTGCTGAAATACTACATCTCAGCTACAAGAAAATAAGAAATATAAGCAGTACTGTATTTCTTAACGGCAGGAAAGTGAGAGAGAGAAAGAGAGCGAGAGCATCTGTGCAAGTTAGTGACAAGTTGATTCAGATTTTTAGATTGGATGAAATTGATGGATTCTTATTGAACGTTTATGGAACATGTATCACTGAGAGTGCAGTGTTATATTTATGTTTTACAAAGCATTTTTTTGTTACTGATCCTGTCACCCTCCTTCATGCAGTTTGAGAATGATGCTTCTCAGTGAACTGCAAGTTTGCCTGGCAGTGGGCTGAATGTTGTGATTATAGGAGGCTACTACTCAAAAGTTGCTTTTGTTTTTATGATGGATGTTGTCCTGTATGACTCACATGATGTTAAAATTTAAATTATGTGGCAGAAGCATATATATTTAATAAATTAAGATCACTCATTTTTGGCTATAATCTCTACATATACATATACATATACATATACATATACATATACATTTGTATATATATTATGAGTAAAATAATGAAACACAACTACAATGTGCCCAGCTATTCATGAATCACACTGTTTGCTGCACAGAGAACTGGAATTAATTGTAATGGGCTATGTGTGTGACAATTTTGTTTTCCAAGCCACACAGTAATGTACCTGTGCTCTTGCACCCTGTACACAGGCAGTGAATAGGCACTTTGCCTCCTTGTGAAATGCAGCCTGAGGAGCTGGCTACTCCCCTTGCTGGCTGAGTGACAGCCCCACGAGTATAAAAAGGCCCCTTGGGCCAGACTGCGCTGGGTGTAGCTGATACAGCAGCGGAAAGAAGGCTTGTTCAGGGCTCTACAACTAGAAAAACCTGAGTTAGGTTGTAGCCACCAACAGGTCTGAGCTACACAAAATGCGTGAAATTGTGCATCTTCAGATTGGCCAGTGTGGGAACCAAATTGGATCTAAGGTAAGGTCTCTTTTCAGTATTGGTCCTTAGCAGTAAGTGCTGTCAGCGGTAGCAGGTGAGGCATCGTTAATGGATGGGGACATTTGGGGGGAACAATTACTTTATTAACTCAGTGGTAGGATGCGTGGCACATTAGCAGTGAATAGGAATAGTTTGATATGAAAGATGGGCTTGTTCCTCTTGCAAAGGTTAAAGTTAAGACTGTCATAGAATGAAACATCCGCAATAACTATGGCACAGTGATTATAAGTGCTCCAGAGCATTCCCACTGGGACTCATATTCCCAGGGACACTAATCTAGTCTGCAAAATACTGGGACAAGTGAAGGAACCAGTAATTCCAGGGCTGCAAAGTTGTAATGGCAGCGCTTTGGTGCAGCCATACAGCAGTAGTTCTGCCACATTATAATCATTAATATGGGACTGTATTAATCAAGAGTTTTGTTAATCAACAAATTAATGAGCTGTGCTATCAGTGACCAATTAGGTTTGTCTGAGTGGCACAAAGTGCAATTAAGGATTCCTGCCTAACTGGCCTCCTGCAAGAGATAGTCATGTCGTTCAGAGTATTTTTGTGTAGTTCAAACACCGGCTTGCTGTTACTTAGAAGTTGCTCATCGCTGACTTTGAGTGCTAGGAGAAAAAAAAACAAAGCCGCTGCTTTCTGCTGTGTGATGTCCATCTTTTTTTTTTTTTTTTTTAATTGATAAGTAGGAAGTTGTCAAAAAAAAGTATCTGGGTTAATTTGGGGCTGGAGGTCTTTGAAGACACATGATCACTGAAGGGTTGCTCCCTTTTGCTCGTCCCCTGTTTCTTGCTCCCAAAAATCTCACCTTGATTCCTTTTATTGGAACATGAAACTGTGGATGGCCAGGGCATGTCCTGTCAGACCCAGATAGTTTGAATGCAGCCAGTATGAGAGCTGAAAGGTTTGAATTTTTTTCTGTTGGCTTTGACTTGGAAACTGCTTATGGCTAATAACAACTGTAGGAAAGCACATGCACGCGCGCGCACACACACATGTTGGCAATGGTGTACTTGTACACTCAAAACCAGACTAGATGCTAAACCAGGAGACCTTTAGAATTAAAATAGCCTCGTCATTATAGTGGGTGGGTGTGTCTACATTAATGCTGCTGTGGCTGCTGCCTAGATAAGAGCCCCGGTACAAGACATCCATGTGAACGTCAAGATAGGACGTTTAGGACCAACAGCTGTTTGTGGAAAGCATTGCTGACATACAATTTTGTCTGAGCCAGCTTTGCCATGCCACAGTCCCACACCTCAAAGCAGCCCTCCCCAATCCATCCACCCCCGATTTTTTTGTTAAGCTCATGCCAACTAGTACCTGTGGTATTTGAAATAGTATCAATTTTCCTTTACTATAAAGGGAACAAATTGAGGGCCTCCACCTATTAGGGCACGGGTGATAGCTAAGCAGCACAACTGGTCTATTAAACTTTTCCCTCGAACTTATTTGGGGAGGGGGGAGAGGAGGATCCCCACCCTGATCTAATAGGTAAATGGCAAAGCATCCCCCACGTCAGGCACTGTTCCCACTTGATGTGCAGTCAGGCATGAGCACAGCAGAGCTGGTGCTGAACACGTTGTGCTAAAAAAAAAAAGGTAAATCATTGTGAGTGTATCGAACTTCTTTTGTTTTTCAGTTCTGGGAGGTGATAAGTGATGAACATGGAATTGACATTGCTGGAAACTACCGTGGGGGTGCATCACTGCAGCTTGAGCGAATTAACGTGTACTTCAACGAGGCTTACTGTAAGTGCTCAGCACTGTTAGGGTGTTGGCAGAGCAATTTGCAGAGCCAACATGAAGGTTAAAATAAGTAATTAAAAATAAAAATAATCCCCATATCACTGTAGGTGGGTTGGATTTTTTTCAGAGTAGATTATAAGCCTGTCTTTTTGGCTGCTAACAGTAATTGTTTGCATTCCTTTTCTTTTGTCCTAGCCCATAAATACGTGCCCCGTTCTATCCTGGTGGACCTGGAACCTGGTACGATGGACAGTGTACGGTCTAGCAAAATAGGTCCCCTCTTTCGACCTGACAATTTTATTCATGGTATGTACAGCATGCTGACAGCAAACTAACTAGTGCCAACTGTCCCCAAACGGCATTTTAATGCCCAGCTTTGTAGCCTTTAAAAAGTCTCTTGTTAACTTTGTGGCTGTTCTTTCTGTAATTCGATTTACAGGTAATTCAGGTGCTGGAAACAACTGGGCTAAGGGCCATTACACGGAAGGCGCTGAACTGATTGAAAATGTCATGGATGTGGTCAGGAACGAGTGCGAGAGCTGTGACTGCCTTCAGGGATTCCAGCTCATCCATTCGCTTGGTGGTGGCACAGGCTCAGGTATGGGCACGCTCCTCATCAACAAAATCCGAGAAGAATATCCCGACAGGATTATGAACACTTTCAGCGTTGTGCCTTCACCCAAAGTGTCCGACACGGTCGTAGAGCCGTATAATGCCATCCTCTCCATCCACCAACTAATAGAGAATACGGACGAAACCTTCTGCATTGACAACGAAGCTCTCTATGACATCTGCTTTAGAACGTTAAAGCTCACCAACCCCACCTATGGTGACCTCAACCACTTAGTGTCCCTAACGATGAGCGGTGTCACAACCTCACTCCGTTTTCCTGGTCAGCTGAACGCAGATCTGAGGAAGCTGGCTGTTAACATGGTGCCCTTTCCTCGCCTGCATTTCTTTATGCCGGGCTTTGCTCCGCTGACAGCTCGAGGCAGCCAACAGTACAGAGCGCTCTCAGTGCCCGAGCTTACTCAACAAATGTTTGATGCACGCAACATGATGGCAGCCTGCGACCCTCGTCGTGGGCGTTACTTGACCGTGGCATGCATCTTCAGAGGCCGAATGTCTACCAGAGAAGTGGATGAGCAGCTGCTGGCTGTCCAGACCAAGAATAGTTCCTACTTTGTGGAGTGGATCCCTAATAACGTTAAAGTGGCTGTGTGTGACATACCCCCGCGAGGCTTGAAGATGGCAGCTACCTTTATTGGCAACAACACAGCCATTCAGGAGCTGTTCATCAGGGTTTCTGAACAGTTCTCAGCGATGTTCAGAAGAAAAGCATTTCTCCATTGGTATACTGGTGAAGGTATGGATGAGATGGAGTTTTCCGAAGCAGAAGGTAACACCAATGACCTTGTGTCTGAGTACCAACAGTACCAGGATGCCACTGCAGATGTTGAGGAATATGAAGAGGTAGAAGTGGAAGCCAGCCCAGAAAAGGAGGCACTGTAAAAAACAATGGTAACGTCAAAACATTCTCCAAACAAGCCTGTTGACACTCACTAAAGAAAAAGCAGTAGCCATCGTCTGCATACTGAAAAGAACACCTTTCTTAAGAACTTTTTCTCTGCATCTGGCCAAAACATATCCAATATTACAATACAATGCTTTTGAAATTAATGGCAGCTATGCTTTACTCTCCTGAACAACTGTTGACACAACCTCTCCTAAGAAAAAGAGCCATTATGAAAACAAGTTGTCTCATTAACCTTTCTTGTAAATGTATTCACTTTTAGAATATTCTCACCAGATACTGAATGTAATATACAGCCCCTGTGTCTGTGTATCTGTTTCAGGGTCATAAGCGACAGCAAAACACACTATCAACTCATCAAATTATTTATTCTCGGGTAAAGACAGTCCCTGTTTTGTTTGTGAACTTGTTACCGGTTCAGGAACACACGCACCTCTACAAAGGCAGTATCTCTTTTATTACACACTCCACAGACTGACGTAGACCTGCAGACAAGTTCAGTTCCTGAAGCTGCAGGGGTGGGGGGAAATAACATGGGGCAAAAGACTGGATATGCACATTCTTACTTTTTTTTTTTTATTATTAAGTACTTTAATAGTTCTGTCACATTGCTGGCCTCTCTTATTGCAGTTCGTATTATCATTGTGTGGCTTGTTTCTGTTTCGAACTGTAGATTGAGTTACATCAGCATACAAAGTTGTGAACACCCTGTTAGTTTTGGTGTATTTTTTCCCCTCCCTCCAGGCACTAACTGCTGTAAATTTTCTTCCTATCATTCAGTACAGCAAAATGGATAGAGTGGTTTGCAGCTAGTTAGATGTGAGTTCCACAGCAACCACTAAACTAAAAATGTATTTTGTCTTCAGGAAAAAAAAAAAAAAGTTTCTTGCCCTTCACCACCATCTACTTAACACTGTATTTATAATGTTCTTCACAATAAAGACTATATGCCGTTCTATAAAATACTTTAATACTTGAAACATTTGGTAGACAAGACCCATGGTTTATTCTTGTAAGGACTATCTTTAAGTTACGTTTATCCTTGTTTTATCCTCTTAGAAGGGAGAGTTTGTCATACTCTGAAGAAAGCAATGCCTCACGTCTGAGTCAGCAGCAGAAGTGTCCGGGAGGACACAAACCTGGAGGCAGTTCTGCAAGCACGCTGGCTTTGCTCCCGTGCAGCGGGACAACGCGGTGCCTGCTGTGAAGACACACAGCAGCAGGACGCGCCAACGCTCCCCCCAGGCTGACACAGCTCAGGGTACAGCTGCGCCCCATGGCCAAGAGCGGGCAGAGCGTCACCCTCCGCTCCTACCACTTCCCAGTGAACACACGTCCCTCTGCCCCCAGTAAAGTGACAGAGCGGGCCCAAGGACAACCGATAGCCAAGTGGCCAGAGTACAGTCCAGGGATTTCTGCAGAGCGGGCAGAGCGTCACCCTCCGCTCCTACCGCTTCCCAGTGAACACACGCCCCCAGTAAAGTGACAGAACGGGCCCAAGGACAACCGATAGCCGAGTGGCCAGAGTACGGTCCAGGGATTTCTGCACCTCCTCCTCCACCTCTTACAGGACACGCCAGGTCTCCAGGTCCCAGTTCACTGCTCAGTGTCCCAGACAGCTTTGGAGATGAGATCCCGTGCAGCACATCCACAGCAAAATATCCTGCTTCCAGTTTAGTCACAACCCCAAGCCTCAGCAAATTAATTTTCACTCAGTTTTGTTCTAAGCACAAACAGGAGATGAACACCATCACGACAGAGAATGTTAAAGCCAATGGTGTACCACTTCCAGCAGAGGGAACTGACAGAGGTATTTTTAATTACCAAAATTACATGCCTATATTCTCTGTTGACACAGGGTTTAAAGTGAAGAAATTTTTTCCAAAGTAATCATTAATGACTGAAGAAGGCAGAAACGTTTTAAACAACAATTAAATCTCTCACTCATTTATGTACCTGAAATCCAGTAAGAGATTTGCCTTAAAATTAAACATACATCACTACTGAATGGTAGACTGTGATAAAAAGTCTTCTATCTTTTAACACCAGCGAAAAATAAACGTCTCTGCAAAATGGAGTACTTTGTTTCAAGAGGAACAAGGCTTTAGACACGTTCATTTGTTTAACAGAAGTTACATTTATTACCATGCTGATTTACATACAGAGGCAAGTTTTACAACTAACGTGATGACGTTACATTGCAGAGCCTCGAGCTTGCCTACAGCTTTGCAGTTTGCTGTTAAGGTATTCACCGCAGGTCAGTTCCTACGAGAGATTTAAAATACAAGTTGTTTGATTCAATATGTACAAGGCACGCATCAAACAAAAGGTACTATTTCATCTCAGATCAGGAGCGAAGCTGTTCTACTTAGAACACGGGAGATTTCAGCTGCTTGTGATACGCGCAATGGCACAAACAAAGGTGCAAGTAACATCCATCCTTCACAGCCAGGGGAAAACCCTTCCGTAAGTAAGGCTGCTGATTAGGGGTTATCAGCAGCTCAGAGAGGCCATCCCTTGGCTGAGTAATGCAGGCGACAGGACACCTAGAGAAACTCAGCTGTTTTGCCTAAGTCCAGAACAACTTTGACCAACCCCCAAATCCTTCAAAGCAGGGCTCGACAGACGGGGCACCTCACTTCACTGAGGTAAGGAGATTACGCAGTTTCCTGTCCCACATGTAATTAGCACGAAATTACCCCAGCAGTTACGGACCGTCATCAACCCGACTCACACCGGGAAACCAACACTCCTGGCATAAAAAGCTACACTAAGGCACCGCAGCCCACAATTTACTTACATTTTACTCCTTCTTGGTCTTCACAGTTTTCACGGTGGCCATGGCCGCCCTCTCTGCCTCCGCCTTGTACTGAGGCTTCATTGCGGCTCGAACAACCTGGGCACAGATCTGCGAATACCGGATGTAACTACAGGCAGGAGAGAAAAGG